TCGGCACAGGCGAGGGTGGCATAGCGACCCTGCACGCGTGCGTCAAGCTCCACGCCCTGACAGAGGAGACCAGGGAAGGACCAGCGTTCCACGGGGGTCTGCTCTGCCAGGGGTCTGCCGATAGAGGGGGATGAGAGTGGTGTGGTCCGGAGATGGCACTGCCATCCGCACCCTCAGAAACAGAAGAGGACGAGAGTGGCGAGGCACAGGGGCGTTGCACACTGCCGTCCTGCTCTGTGTGCTCAGGGATGGAATGCAGCTCTTTGGAGAAAAGATTCTCCTCCAGCCCTCCACCCGGGGAAGGAGTGGGCCTGCAACCACTCCCTGAAAGAACTGCAAGCCATATCTGAGCTGCTCGTAACGGGAGCGCCGCATAGCCTGGCGTACAGCGGGGCTGCAGGGCTGATACCGGGCAGGGGCGCCTCCCTGTGACCACCTCCACGGCACGGCCCGGTGCTGCGGGGGCCGGGCGGGAGGGGGCGGAAGTCGCAGGAGGGCGCATTTGGTGGCAAGCAGACTGAGCATCTAAGCCGGCGGCTGGTTGGCAGCAGAAGCCGCAGGGTCAGACAAAAAGCCACAGTCCACTTCTGGGCGGACGAGAACTGCTGGGCAGAGTTCACGACCGCGCCGCCGAAGAGGCCAGCCTGGGATATGGGGAAGTTGAGGAAACTGGTTCACTCAGCCTCACGCACATCAACCAGGTTAAGCCAAAAATGTCTGACCATGCATGTGGACCTCACCTGACTCAGGGAGTATGCGGTCACCTTCGTCGCTCGTAGAGAAAGGTCGGTGATGGCAGGCAGCTCAAGGATGAGCCCTGAATCAACCCTATCCTTGTGCATGTCATTGAACACCCATAAGGATGACAATAACATACAGTGAGGTGGCAGTCTGCCCCACAGCTCTGTAGGTCCCCGCCACCGGAGTAGACAAGAACCTACAGGCATTGGAGGGGTGCTTAGGGTTGCCACGCCAGGTGGAGGCGCTGTGGGGACACATAAGTGTTTCCACAGAACACTCCACAGGGGTAACCCCAGCGTAACCTAGACTGCGGCCTCTACGAGGGCAGAGAAGGCGGAAGAGGCCGCTGAGTGATCGTGAAAAGTCAAAGGAGACTTCCACGATCTCACGGCCTCTTCATGCACATCCGGGAAGAAAGGATTTGGGTTCGCCACGCCCAAAAACCAATCATCAGCCTTAAGTGCTCGGGACATGGCAGAATTTTCCACACAAACCCGATACTCGTGGCAGCCCGGGAAAGCTCGGAGTAAACCTGGACCAATCAGCTGGGGGCAAAGTGACATATCTGGTGCTATGAGGCTACACTCCCCCTGTATCTCTTGCTTCAAATAAAAGCAGTTCACAACTTTTAAGTTGCCTTGCCTGAAATGTATCGAACAAGCCTAGAGTTAAGTGACACCACTTAGTGTGTTAATAAATTCTTTATTAACATGTATTTCTACTGTAATTCATGATTAATTCAGATAGTTATAAAGCATTTAGTAGTGGCCAGTTAACTATTTGGTGAGCTCATGTAAATTGAGGACTTTTTTGCCTTGTAAAGCTTTATATGAATTCAATTATTTTTATGAATCAAGAATTAAGCATTTATAACAATATTTATAAACTGCATATTAATGTCTATTAATACTTTATAAATGATTAATTTACTGTTTATTAATGCTTAGCTAATGATTAATAGCGTGCAGTTATTATAAGGTGTGACTAATACGGGATTCCACATAGATTTATATTCTGTCTTATAAACTTGCATGTTCAAGTTTATATATAACAAGTCAGCTTTGGGGTACAAAGTGCAAAAAAATAGTACAGTAAACTGTAAGTACTGTATGATGTAAGTTCACTTAAAGAGAACTTACAAGCATACTTGCAACTACTAGGAAACAACTCAAAGAACTAACATCAAAATATGATTTTCATCAATTTGTAAAGGGACCCACTCGTCTGACAAAAACATCACAGACAGCAATAGATTTAGCTTTCTCAAATAAGCCGGAAAGAGTCTTAAAAACATACAATTTGGTGTGTGGCTTATCAGATCATAACATGATATTAATGTCAAGAAAACTTTAAAAAAATCATCTCAATGAATATAAAAATGTACAAAAGGTAACCAAGTTAATCATTCCCCGCAAGGATCTGATTAAAGTTGAGAATGAGATAGCACATACTAATTGGGATGAAGTCTCACAATATAATCAAGTGAACGAGTGTTGCGACATATTTACTTCAACAATGAGTAACATTTTAAATAAGTTTTTAAAGCAATGTAAAAGGCCACAAAGAAAAGTACAGCTTCCATGGGTAAGTGATGCAGTACGACAGTTAATTAAAAAAAGAGATTTTGCTCTAAAAACCTATCTTAAAACCAAATGTGACACAGATCTGATGTTATTTAAAGGTTTTCGAAATCAAGTAGTAAAAGAATTGCGCAACCTAAAAGCAAATTATTATATGAAAATTCTAACTGAAGCTAAAGGAAATTGTAAAGCAATATGGAAACAAATAAACAGTCTAATTAAACCTAATGCAAATATAAATAATTCATATGAACTAAAATGTGAAGGAAAAAACATATCGGACCCTGTCCAAGTTGCCAATGTTTTTAATCAATTTTTCATAAAATCCGTTGAAGATCTTGCTTCTAATTTTTTAGATGACGAGCCCAATAGTTGCAATTTAAATATACTGTCATCAGCAAATGAGAATTCTTTTTAAATTAGAGAAGTGGATCAGGTGGTGGTACTGAAAGCCATTTCAAACTTGAATACCAACTTTTCTAAAGACAACTATAACATAGACGCAACTTTCCTCAAAAAATATGCTCAAATTTTCATTCATCCTTTGACCCATATTATAAATGTCTCTATTAAAATGGGAAAATTTCCCAACGCTTGGAAAAAGGCACTGGTAAAACCCATCTTTAAGTCCGGGAATACCATAGACGATAGTAACTATCGACCAATAAGTCTAGTTCCAGTAATGTCAAAAATACTAGAAAAAATAGTTTCAGAACAGCTAACTAACTATTTAGAAATACATCAGTATATGCACCCCCAACAGTATGGTTTCAGACAGAACCATTCCACTGAATCAGCTATCTGCGCATTATTAGAAAATGTAGTGCAGCCGCTTGATAAAGGAAACATCGTGGGTGCAGTATTCCTGGACTTAAAGAGGGCATTCGATACAGTAAATCATAGCCTTCTTATCGCAAAACTGTCATCTTATAACATGTCACACCAGGCATTATCATGGTTCGAGTCATACTTGCAGGGACGAGAACAATGTGTAGTTATCGATCATGTAAAATCTGCCCCATGTAAAATTAAGACCGGAATCCCTCAGGGAACCATACTGGGGCCTATTCTCTTTAGCCTGTATGTGAATGAGCTGCCTGAAGTGTGTCCTGAAGTTGGTCTTCAGATGTATGCGGATGACACTGTGGTTTATGTTTCTGGCAAAAGCCCTACTGTTATCGGCAGTACACTGACCAAAAGTCTTGAGAAAGTGTCTAATTGGTTAAACAAATCATGTTTAACACTCAACCTGAGGAAAACTAAGTCTATGTGTTTTTCGATAAGAGCTCGGAAAATAAATGACCTTAACATTAAAATGAATGGCGAACTAATCGACCAGGTGGAACAAGAAAAATATTTAGGAGTGATTTTAGATTCTCAGCTAAATTTTAAAAGTCATATCAAAAACATCTCAAGAAAAATGAAGGCCAGTATGAACTGTTTCAGAATGATCAGTGGAATAACACTGGAATGTGCTCATGTATTTCTGAACACTATGATTCTGTCCCACCTGTCGTACTGCACCACCGCTTGGTCGCAGACCAGCCAAACTACCCTAAAGCCGGTACAGAGGCTTTATAACCGTGCCCTAAAAATTTTAGATGAAAAGCCCATTCGATTCCATCACTGCTATATTTTAAGTAAATATAAAATCTTAAATTTTGTCAATTTTATTAATTTCAGACATATTAATTTGTTTAGTAAATGTTTAACTGGACTTGCACCTGAGCCACTCTGTAAATTTGTGAACAGGCTCGAACCCTCCAGATCAACAAGAGCTACTACACATGGAGACTGTAAAGTTCCATTTTTTTAAAACTTCTTTTGCCCAAAATGTTTTTTTCTGTGAAAGGAGCCAATCTGTGGAACTGTCTTCCAACAAATATAAAGACCTTAACTAAACTGTCCACCATCAAAAAACTAAAACAAGCCTGGTTCATACAGCAGCAGCAGTGTGATCATGCCATATGAAATTGTATATTGTTGTGTATGTGAGGTGTGTATCTGTGTGAGTTTGAGTGAATATGTTTATTTACTCATTTTTATTGGTGCTAACTGGTTTCTTGACATTTTATTGTATTTACTGTCTTTTTTTTTCTTTCCTGTGTTTCTCTTGATTGTTAAAAGCCCTTCTAGGGACTGGTGTTGCGAATTAGCCTTGGCTATAAACACTATGATACAGGCATCGGATTGTTCTTTATGTAATAATCTATGTTTTTTTGTATCTGTCCCTATTCATATAAACAGTATAGTATACTAAACTGGCAGTTTACAGAGAGTATACTTCAAAGTGTCATAAACTAAATAATAAGCATTTAACTAGTAAACTATCAGTATACCTACAAGTTCACTTGTTGTAGTTCAAGCAAAAAACGTAGTTTATCACACTTAAAGTATATTTAAAAAGTATATATAGTACACTTACAAGTATACTACTAGTAAATTATTATTATACTTAATACATAAAGTATCCTAAAAATATAAATAAATAAAAAACTTTGTTAAAGTACATGTACTTGAAGTATACTTATTTTTTTAAGAGCTCACTCATATTTTAAATGATCTGATATAATACGGTATACCATTATTACACGAATACATCTTTCCATGCAATTATCTGTTCTAATTCATTAATCTCTGTTGTAATTATTCAACTGATGTTTCTGTGTTGTTCTCCAGTGGGTCATTGCCACCCAGATGTGGTTGAGGCAGGAACAAAGCAAATGGAGCTTCTCAACACCAACTCTCGCTTCCTACATGACAATTTGGTCCTGTATGCTCAGCGTCTCCAAGCCACCCTTCCTGAAAAGCTCTCTGTGTGCTACTTTGTCAACTCAGGGTATGTCTGTGAACAGTTCTCAGTTCTCAGAGTTTAGCGTACAGTGTACATGCACATTGAGTTTTCTGCTTGCTTCAAAACATGCCCAGTTTGAAACAGGTTTAACAGACAAGTCTTTAAAGGGTCATGAAATCCCCCTCTTTCAGCTCAAGTCAAGCTCACAATCTTTTTGAAAAATGCAACTTAAACGGGCGTGAATAGCTGTGAGAAGAAGGGAGCGGAGTGGGTGTGGTATGGCCATCAGTGTCATCGCCAATGTCCCATGCATATCAACTGTCACTAAAAATCAGTGGTAAAACGTGAAGAAATGCTCGATTTTTTTATATAGCTGGCAAAAGTTAAAGTCTTATGAAATACACTGACACTTTATTATTGTCCTTTCAAAAGTAACTGAATGCATATATATTAGCCTACAGTAATCATAATTATATTTAAAACATTAATGTAGGCTACATGTATAATTAGAATGTCCTTATAAAATATATAGTGGTTTATATAGTGTTACGGCCAGCTCGTTTTGACCGTACATAAAGAGATACAAGTACAACAAAATGACTTGCAAATTTTTATTTGTCCTCAAAAAATCACAATTAACTAAATATAACAAAGTCTAGGGTTTCAAATCAAAAGGGAAAATCACAATCCGGTTGGGGAGTAAAAGAAGGTTGGTATGGGCTGTAAATCAAAAGGTTCAAATGACTTCGCCAGAGGCTGTCAGTCCAATGGACGAAGTGAAGAATGGTAAATGGACTGCATTTATATAGCGCCTTCATAGACCTAATGGCCACCAAAGCGCTTTACATTTGCCTCACATTCACCCATTCACACACTCATTCATACACGGCGTGATCTCCCACGCTCTCTGAGCAACTACGCCACCAGCAGGCGAGAAAGCGGAACGCAGGGTCGTAACACCTCCCTCCAAAAGAAAAAGATTCAGCCACGAATCTAAAAATCAAAAACAAGAAAAGACAATTAGGCACAACCCAAAACAAGCGCAATAACACTCTGGACGTCGTCTTCTCTTCATTCTTCAGCACCTCTGGGCCCTAGAGATGCAAAGAAAATAAATGAACAGTGCAGAGGTTAAATTATGCTCTAGAAAGTGTCAGCTATGACATTATCTTTTCCTCGAATGTGTTGAATCTCAAGATGGAAAGGTTGTAAAATGAGAATCCATCCCATAAGTCGCTGATTTCGATTTCTCATTCGATTCAAGAAAACCAACGGATTATGATCCGTATATATGATAATCGGTGCAGCGATCGACCCTAGGTATACCTCAAAATGTTGCACGGCCAACACTAGGGCGAGAGCTTCCTTCTCAATGGTAGAGTATACTTGTTGGTGCCGATTAAACTTTTTTGAAAAGTGTAAGACTGGAAAAACTGGTTAAAGAGAAAATATCTGACCAGTGGCCTCTAAAGACAAAAGGCATTGCTTGCAAATTAACATTTGACACCCTACCCCCTATTCTCTGAACATCTTATCTGCATCATCTCTCTTTCACTCTCTCAGTCAATGATACTGAAAACATACACAAGAATATGGTTTTAATGTGAATCTGATAATCTTTAAGGATTGTTTAGAATCATTTTGATGGTCTCAGGGTGACTGGTAATAATGTCTCATTCCCAAAGTAATAAAAGAAAAGGTAATAAGGTTTTTAAGAAGTTTAGGAAACACTGTCACACAAAGGAGTGTGGTCTTTGAGTTAACACCTTCTGCCTTGTTGTCTGAATGCAAATTACAACCAAGCAAATGGTCTGCCCCCGATAAACATGGAAGGGGGATTCAGTAACTTTCCATTGTATCCTGGTGATTTACATATCAGGTGAGGTCTGATTATAAAGGGAGATGCAACAAGAGTTCGAGGCTGCCTTTCTGTATTCAGATCAGCCCGTGATGTTGTGTCTTCAAGACTCAGCTCATGTAATATGTTGGGTAAAGTTCTTTGTTCTAAAACATTTGATGGTTTGCTCTGATTATCTTGTGGAAGTCTAATGATACATTTACCTGACATAATAAATTGTTATATTTGGCTATTCTAACAGACTTTGACTTTATTTTCATTAAGTTAAAAGTAATAGTCAAGCATTAACATATTTAATGATGCACAGATATCATTGATAAACCCTTTTCATTTTATGGAGTCAGATGAAACGAGTTAATACATAAGATTAATTAACGCTTGAAACCTTCACCACGAATCGAACTCCGCCATTTGAACCGATTTCGTGGCCCTTTTTACAAAAGTAACTTACAGGATGTAGAACCTTGTTCAAACCCTCCTACAAGAGAACAGCGCCCGCACCACATGCACTTGCATCGATTGCAAGGCTAAAAGATTTCTTGAAATCCGGGGCTGTTAAAACAGGGGCACACGCCAGTAACGCTTTACAATTTTCAAAAGCCTGTTGACAGAGCTCAGACCACTGAAAGGTCAACTTTGGACTCAATAAATCGGTAAGAGGTGAGACCACATTGCCAAAATTTTCACAGAAGCTCCGGTAATATCCCACCATACCGAGAAACCGTCGCAATTGACCCTTCGCTAAGCCCCGCCCTCCCTAGTTACTGTTGCTACGCCTGTCAAGCTTTCGCAGCTGGCCCATCTATTATAGTGTGGATGCACCCGGTATCAGACATTTCAATGAGATAATTAGTAATTTTCGGCGAACAAGTGAAATAAATGAGAGAGCAAGACAAAAGGGACTACAGTATGCATTCGAGGGATATATTTACGACATTATATGCAACCGATTAGAGAATAATGTCTTAAAAATTTAAGTTAAAGCCAAACGTTATAGTCCCAGCGCCAGCAGCAGCGCCTCATACGCTGACCGTTCAAATGGAAAACACAAATTGAGGAACAGCTATGTTCATACACAGCAGGGTATGTGAAAATAATCGTAATAATTATAAATCAAACAGCTTATCAATAAATCGTGTGGAATAACACTAATACCGGGAGAGCCGCGATCGGATTGGCTTAAGTTAAGAGGTAACGTTAGTAGGACGTCGATTAACAAAATGCTGAAATATATTTTAAAGTATGTCAGTGAGCCTTTGTCTTGTCTCTTTAATCGTTTTATTTTACGTTATCATTATGACCAAAGAACCGTCAATATTTCCAAGCAATAGGTGTTTTTGTTAAGCATGTCGACATTTACCAGTAACGTTAGTTGTGAATGAGTCTCGCACATAGACGCTAGATCACGCCAATCATTTCTCCCCTTGGCTTTTAGATTTTCTGCAAGGAAAACAATTCCTCTCCCATGTCCAAACTTTTAGTATAACATTACCGGTATCAGATTTGCACAATCCATACGCACAATGCTTCAGCATGTTTCCCTCGTTCGAAAGCTTGCCAGACCTCCCGCGCATAGTTACGGTTGCTAAGACATGATTGGCCAGTGGCGGTTTTCGGGCCTGGCTTAGCGAAGGGTCAATTCACGACGAGTGGTGGGTACGGGAAAGTCACAAATGGCTTCGACTTTGGTCTCTATAGGCTTTACACAACCGTTTCCCACGACTTTACCTAAATAGGTAACAGTTGCCTTCGCGAATTCTGATTTAGCGAGGTTGATGGTAAGATTAGCCTTTGCTAAACGAGAAAACAATTCTTTAATTTGGTTAAGATGTTCAGACCAGGAGGAATCATACAATACCACGTCGTCAAGATATGCCTCACATCCTGACATTCCATACAGTATACGGTTTACGAGACGCTGAAACGTCGCAGGTGCATTGCGAACCCCAAAAGGCATAACCGTATACTGCAGGAAAGGATCAGGTGTGACGAAGGCGGATAATTCTTTCGCTCGACTAGTCAGAGGCACCTGCCAATATCCCTTTAAGAGATCGAACTTACTAACATATCGGGCAGAGCCAACATGATCGACGCAGTCATCAACTCAAGGCAAAGGAAAGCAATCTGGCTTAGTAACAGAATTAAGTTTTCGATAATCTGTGCAGAATCGATATGAGCCATCAGATTTATTTACTAGAACACAAGGGGAACTCCATGAACTGAAACTAGATTCAGCCAGACCATGAGCAAGTAGATAGTTCACCTCTTGTTTCAGCAAATCTCTTTTGAAAGGATTGACTCGATATGCGCTCTGTTTAACGGGACACGAGGATCCTATGTCGATATCATGTTCTATGATAGAAGTACGACCAGGAACATCACGGAAAAGAGAGGAAAATGACATCACCAACATAGTGACATCACTCCTCTCCTTCTCAGTCAGGTAAGAAAGATGAGACGACAGATTAAGAAGAATCTCAGAGTTTTTAATTCGCCCGTCGACTTTTTCTCGAGAAAGAAAACTCTCATCCTCATCAGCATTCTCCTAAGAATCCTTACTCGGGCTACAAAAGGAAGATGACAATTCTGAAAAAGAATCACAAGAGTTTACCACATTAACAGTAACAGAACGAACAGGACGAACAGGAGCTATGTACAATTTCAGCCGGTTACTGTGACATACTTGAACAGGTTACTGTGACATACATTCTTTCTCTGATCAGGTGTATTCAACAGATAGTTGTTATCGGAAAGGCGTTTAACTATCTTGTAAGGGCCTGCAAATTTAGCCTGAAATGGATTTGCAGGTAAAGACAATAAAGCCAATACCTGTTCACCCACCTGAAATTCTCTTACTTTAGCTTTTCTGTCAAAACGTTGTTGCATTTTTATTTGAGACTTACTCAATTTCCTTTTAGCAAGAGCTCGTGCCTCATATAATCTACGCCGGAATCCACTCACATAATCTGAAGTATTTTCAGAAGGTTTAGACGTTCGCCACTCCTCAGCTAACACAGTTGTAGGTCCTCTCACTACATGTCTGAACACTAATTCATTTGGGCTAAACCCAAAACTTTCTTGGATCACCTCACGGATCCCTAACAACATCCACGGCAGACCTTCTTCCCAATCTGCATCAAGTTCCACACAATATGACCTCAAAAGGGACTTCAGGGTTTGATGAAAC